AGGGTCAGTTCTTGGAGGGGAGGCCACCAAGGAAGACCCTGCAGAGGCAGGCCATGGCAAACCACCTCTGCTTCTCGCTTGCCCTGAAAGCCCCTTGCTGGACATCACCAGAAGGTGAAAGCTACGCAGAGTCAGGCGATGGCAAACCACCTCTGCTTCTCACTTGCCCTGAAAGACTCTTGCTGGACATCACCAGAAGGTGAAGGCTAAGTAGAGTCAGTTCTTGGAGGGGAGACCACCAAGGAAGACTCTGCAGAGTCAGGCGATGGCAAACCGCCTCTGCTTCTCGCTTGCCCTGAAAGCCCCTTGCTGGACATCACCAGAAGGTGAAAGCTACGCAGAGTCAGGCGATGGCAAACCACCTCTGCTTCTCACTTGCCCTGAAAGACCCTTGCTGGACATCACCAGAAGGTGAAAGCTACGCAGAGTCAGGCGATGGCAAACCACCTCTGCTTCTTGCTTGCCCTGAAAGCCCCTTGCTGGACATCACCAGAAGGTGAAAGCTACGCAGAATCAGGCGATGGCAAACCACCTCTGCTTCTCACTTGCCCTGAAAGACCCTTGCTGGACATCACCAGAAGGTGAAAGCTATGCAGAGTCAGGCGATGGCAAACCACCTCTGCTTCTCATTTGCCCTGAAAGACCCTTGCTGGACATCACCAGAAGGTGAAGGCTAAGTAGAGTCAGTTCTTGGAGGGGAGACCACCAAGGAAGGCTCTGCAAAGGAAGCCAATGGCAAACCACCTCTGCTTCTCGCTTGCCCTGAAAGCCCCTTGCTGGGGTTGCCATATTTTGGAGGGAAGACCACCAAGGAAGACTCTGCAGAGGAAGCCAATGGCAAACCACCACTGCTTCTCGCTTGCCCTGAAAGCCCCTTGCTGGGGTCGCCATAGATTGGTACTGGGAAGGGAGACCACCAAGGAAGACCCTGCAGAGGCAGGCGATGGCAAACCACCACTGCTTCTCGCATGCCCTGAAAGGCCCTCACTGGTGTCACCACAAGAAGGCTGCAACTTGATGGCACTTTACACACACACAGTGCGCTCTCACAGTCTCCCGTTCTTTTGCCTGGCAAGAAGTCTTGCCAGAATCGTTCTATCAAGCATTTCTGAATCCAACAAAAGCACACAAGCCCCCTGAGAGAAAGCAAGATTCAAGCCTTTGCATTTTTTACCTTTTAGTGTTGGGGGTGTGGGTTCCTCCCAAGGAAGCCTACATCAAAATTGGGTACTTTCTAACTAGCAATGAAGACAGGCCTGGTGGAGTAGGGATGGGTACAAACCACACTTCTGTAGTTCATTCGGTTCGTGGTTTGTGCCCGAACCACTAACCGATATGAACCAGGTGGTTGGTTCGCAAACTGAACTGGTTAGTATTGGTTCACGACCCCTGCTTTCTGCTCCCTGCGGGGGGGGGGGAAACAGCTGAGTGGAGGGGAGCAGAAAGCAGGCATTGAAATGGCGCCGAGCGATTTAAACCCCTGCTTTCTGCTCCCCGCCACTCCGCTATTTCTCACAGGGAGCAGAAAGCGGAGGTTTAAATGGCTCTAAGCCATTCAAACCCCCGTTTTCTGCTCTTCGTGAACTGCCACAAACTGCCTAAAAATCCATGAAGAGTTCATGGCTCCTCTTCAGTTCGTGAACCACAAACAGGCCAAAATCCGTCATGAACTTTAGTTCGTGACCCAGTCCGTGCCCATCACTAGCCGGGAGCCCTCCAGGTTTATTCTATATTTACTTCCATCTTTACCCCTCCCGTAAGTTCGGCAGCGCCGTTGCCCAAGGCTCTGGATGAGCAGTTCTGCTTCTCCCTGAGGCGCCCTAAAAGAC